TGTATATTCTGGACAAACTGATGTAAAATGTTGTTAAGGACCAAACTGTCAAGTATATAGAATGGCAAGCACTGACAAACAAAACAAAACAAAAGAAAAGAATCAGCATGGCGACTGCAAAGCGAAATTCTGTCTTGTTAATTTTTCAGAATTCTTTGAAAGTGTCAGTAAACATAGTGATACCCCTGAGGGATAAATACAATATAGTCAGGAGTGATCTGGTAGATATTGTTTTTCTCAACTTCTAAAAGGTTTCTAATAAATCCCCTCACCAAACACTGCTGAACAGATCTAATAGTCATGGGATAAGGCGAGGCTTTATGGACTGAAAACCAGTTAAAGGATATGAGCCAGAAAGCAGGAATCAGTTGTCACAGAAGAGGAAGGTGAGAAGTGGAGTAACCCAGAGTATCTGTACTGCAAGCACTTTAAATTTTTTATAAATTATAAATTCTGTCTACAGTTAATCTGCCAAATATAGTCTTGATTCAAGAAATGTTTCAAAAGTTAAAAGTTTTTGTTTGGACTGCCCCCTCCAATCAGCTTATGGAATGCTGCTTTTACTGGCCATGGAATATTAGAGGTGCACTCCTGCGCTCCACTAATAAAGTAGCAGATGGAAGTTAAATGTTAGGAAAAATCTGAAATCTATACAGGCCGTTTAATAATGTTTCAAAAGTCAGACTTATAAGAGAGACTGAACCTGGAGTTAGCGTGATATACAACATTCAAAGGCTATTCTTTAACTCAAAGTTTCCCAGTAGCAGCTCACAGTTCAGCTTACACATCCTTTCTAAGCTCCGGCTAAATGAGGGAACTGTAGGGGAATCGGTCAAACCTATAAAGAAACCTCCTGGGCACTGACTGGCTCCTGTGGTAATAAACGCCTGACCCCTATAACAGCTTGCAGGTCAGAACTGCTTTCTGGTGCAAAAAGCAAAGGGATGTTACTCCTGGCTTCTAATTGGGAGTAAGGCACAGGAAAACGACCCAGGCCTATTAGGTTTCTATGACAACAAACCCTTGACTACATGGTCCACTGATCTGGAGACAGAAAGGAGAAGTCTAAAGTCAGTTCGAGAACCTAAGTGAAAATATCCAGCCCACAATCAGAGATAGGGAACTATTAATATCACTAGGAGATTTCTAAATTATTACCCATCTTTTTTTCTTTCTGACCCAAAACCTTTTATCTATTTTTGAATAATTTCTGTGTAAGAGAACAGAAGCACATGATCCCATTTAAAAATAAGCTGAACATGAAGTTATCCTATTTCACATTAGACAATTTTAAAGTTATGTTTATTTCACTGTTGAAAAAACAATTATTTTTCGCTCCATAAGACGCACCTTTCCATAAGACGCACCAATTTTTTAGGAGAAGAAAACAGGAAAATATAATCTGTTTTCATTGCTCCATAAGACGCACAGACTTTCCACCCCCCCTGTTTTGTGGGAAAAAAGTGTGTCTTATGGTGCGCAAAAATACGGTAATCTTCCCTCACAAAAGAATACTTCATGCAGCCTGAACTAGCTTTTTAACATCTTTGTTTGACATCTGTAAAGTTCCAGGTCATCTCCCAAAATTGCTGCTGTGAAGGACTAAATAGTCCTTCTTCACTAAAGTAAAAATATAGACATAATATCTTGCACAATCGTGTGTGTGTGTGTGTGCGTGTGCGCGCGCGCGCGCGTGCGCGTGTGTGTTTTATGCTGTCAAGTTAAAACCAACTGATATCATCCCTTATGGGGCTTTCAAGGTAAATGAAATATGTATCTATTTAAGGAGTGGTTTTACCAATTCAATTCCCTCAGTGAGTTTCCATGATTGAGTGGAGATTCAAATCCTGTTCTCCAGAGTCCTAGTCCATCACTCTATCCACTACATAACACTGAGACTTGCACAATCAAGACGGAGCCCTAATTACATGCCAGATAACAGGAAGTACTCTTAGGACTACTTAATGTATTTTCTTCGTATCTTCTCACTGCTTCATAGAACATTTTATCCTTATCTGGACATCATAGATCTTCTCATTTTTAACTTAGTCCTCCATATTGCTTTATTACTATGACCTGAAAAGCTTCAGCTGATTTGACTGAAGCCAAAATGGGGTACAAGCCAAAACAGCTCCCTGCTCAGAACTGGTTTTCGTTTTGCTTTGTTTTGTTGTTTTATCAGGGGCCATATCCTGAACTGACCAGAACTGGTGAACCAGTAAAAGTGGCTCTGTCCACTGATTCACTTTCAGAAGAACTATGTGATTCTATGAAATTCTACTTCTCTTCTTCTATGTGAAGTCGAATTTGTTCACAAGTTGGACACAATTTCAACAGCAACCTCCCATTTGTGTTCCCCAAAAGCTCACACTGGGAAGATGATAAGGATATTAGCGACTGACAATATTATTGTTCATGTATTCTTTCCAGCAAACCTTACTCACAGTGGCTGACTATCATAAGGTAAAGGTAAAGGTTCGCCTTGACAATTCGTCCAGTTGTGTCCGACTCTAGAGGGCGGTGCTCATCTCCGTTTCCAACCCATAGAGCTAGCGTTTGTCCGAAGACAATCTTCCGTGGTCACGTAGCCAGCAGCAACTAGACATGGAACACCATTACCTTCCCACTATGGTTGTACCTATTTATCTACTCGCATTTTGCATGCTTTCGAACTGCTAGGTTGGGAGGAGCTGGGACAAGCAACGGGGGCACAGAGGCTTCTGCGGTTTAACCCGCAGCGCCACCACATCCCTCTGGCTGACTATCATAGCTAAGAATTATTACACAGTAATTAAAGACATCCAGAAAAAGGTTGTCATACTTCTTTCACTTTACATGGTACTGATTACCCACTTCTATCCCATCTGCTTGTCCTAAGTCAGTAGTTTTCTCAACTTTTAGAGAAATGTATTGGCATTTAAGAAAGCTATTTAAAACAAGCTTCCTTTCTCATCAAATTACTCAAAAGAAGTCCTCTTGTGGCACAACCCAGTTAAAGGTAGACATCTTCCACTAGAAAAATTTACTCTGAAAAGTGAGTCTTTTCCCTACTGACTTAAATTTATCTTCAACAATTGTATTTTTCCCAGCCAGGTATTAGCCTCTAAGAAGCTTATTCAGACCAGGTAAAATAAATTCCAGGAGCATTTAAGGAATCAGAAAATATCTTCCAGTATCTTCCATTGTAAGGATGTGTCACTGGAGACAAAGACTGAGATCATCTTCACTCTTATATTTCTGATTAGCATGTATGAATCTGATAGCTGGAAAGTTAAGAAAGCTAACAGGAAAAAAATGATTCATTTAAATTATAGTGCTTTGTAGATACACTGGACTGCCAGAAAGATGAACAAGTGAGTCGTAGATCAAATCAAGCCTGAACAATCTCTGGAGGCAAAAATGATGAAATAGAAGCTGTCGTACTCTGGACACGCCATGAGAAGGCAACATTCTCATGAAAAGACAGTAAAGCTGGGAAAGCTGGAAGGCAGCAGGAAAAGAAGATGACCTAATATGAGATGGACTGACTCCATAAAAGAAGACATAGTTTACAAGACCTGACCAGCCCCAGTTGAAGACAGGATATTTTGGAGATCATTCATTCATAAGGTCACCATAAGTCAGAAGCAACTTGATGGCACATAACAACAGTAACAAATCTCAATTTAGAGAACAAACACCTTTTTAGATCCTTAAATTATTCAGTGGTCGAAATCCTCTTCCACAGCACCACGAATGGTGTAATTTTTGGAAGCAAGTTGCCCCAAGTTAAGAAATCACATGGTAAGTCATACAACTCAAGTATTCAAATGATGAAGTCTACAGTAATTTCTCATTATAGGGCAAATTGTCTCCAAAAGTTAAGCCATTTGTGCTACACCAGTGTAACTAGGTAAGAGGATTTGGGCCGCTATGCTTAGAAAGGGAAATTATAGAGAAATTATATTGGATTATAAATAGAATGTGTAATTAATTCTCAATATTAGAATTGATTATCATAATACCGGGAAGCCTAATAGTGATCACTTATCACTTATCAAAACTAGAAGTCAGCCTCAATTGTCATAATTTAACCATGGCATGTGTAAAATAATGAATAATGCAACACATGCAGAATACATTTCTCACCTAGTGAAACAACTACAGATAACTTTACCACATCTTAGAGTATACTTGCATACCAATATGCACAGTATTAAAAGATAATCCTTCACTAAAAACTTCTACATATACAAAACTGTTGCTGTTACGTGCTGTTAAGTCAGAACAGATTCATAGAGACCCTAACAGGGCTTTCAAGGTAAGTAGGTATTTAAGGAGTGGATTTACCAGTTTCAGAGTATACTTGCATACCAATATGCACAGTATTAAAAGATAATCCTTCACTAAAAACTTCTACATATACAAAACTGTTGCTGTTACGTGCTGTCAAGTCAGAACAGATTCCTAGAGATCCTAACAGGGCTTTCAAGGTAAGTAAGTATTTAAGGAGTGGATTTACCAGTTTCACATACACACTAGTGAGCTTCCATGGCTGAGCAGGGATTTGAACCCAAGCCTCCTGAGTCGTAATCCATCACTCTGTCCACTACAAGACACCGAGTAGTAGTCTTTATATGACTATAAAGGTACCATTTATGTTCTCTGCATTTTTGCAACATTCTTTTAACAGGAAAATCCAAATTGCCTCTTTTTTCATCTTTTTTCTGGAGCTGTGCTGCTTCACATAAGGGCTTAAACTCCACCAAACAAATAGACATATGTATATCAGACATCAATCTGATATCAGCATATCTTAATTTTCAGGAGAACCTTTGTAAAGTAGGGGAAATTATTTCCCTCTCAGATCACAGAAGTCTCTTTTTAAGAAATTAAACCTCTGGAAAATGATGAGCATGACAATGGGCCTCAGTTTTCCCACCTGCAAAATAGGATCCCTAGTGATCTACCTTGATATACAGTTGACAATATCAGACTTTATTTAGACAAAAATGTTTTACCTTAGATGCTAAATTGTCCACTAAAGCAATCATGGAGTTCTTGAAAAGCGTAGCAGCAGTCAATGGTCGCTTGGTCACCTCTGTGATGCTCAGTTTGCCTTCTGGCCACATTTTTTTTAACACAGAGTTGGAGCTACAAAACCCGGAAAGAATCAGAAGATCAGCCGTGTTTGATGAGCAACAAGGTTAAAAGACACATGAATACCCGAAGTTTTACTTTTACCTGTTGTACATCAAGCGCTTGAAATCCTGAAATAAGGTGTCCTTGTTTTTGTCAATGAATCCAGTGACTGAATAGCTGGCAAACAAAAGACAGAGTGGGAATTTTTTAAAATGCATTGAACTTCTGATGACATAACTAACAATTGGCCACACTGAAAAAGATATAAACTCCCATGTCAGGAATGAAGTGAACCAGAGTTGTTTCACACAAAGTGATTATTAATATTGAAAGTCTAAAAGTATTGCCAAGCAATAAACCAACAGCACTAGAAACTTTCTGTTGAGTATTTCAACATATGAATCTCCAGTGATTTAAGTCAGAAGGTACTTAAGTCCACTCCAGACACAGCAGATAAGGCTGCCAAGAGGCTTGAGGATAATCGACAGAAACATGACCATATATAATGATTCATTTCAGATGCAATAAGTACATAACAATTAGTTGCAAGTTTTTAGGTGCCTGGAAATACTTTCCCATAATTCTTATAAGTTATTTTCATCTGTTCTGCCTATAAATCTCACCTAGCAACAAAATGGTTTTTTTTTTCACCAGTAGGATTGGTACAGCATAAGTAATCCATTCTCGGCTGGAGAACTGGCTCAAATCATAAGTTGAGTCTGAACTGAGAGATGAGAAATCTGTCTCAAATCATAGCAGTTTTCAACAGATCCCTGTTGTCTTAGCCTTTTTAAAGTATTTATTTAAGGACAGGGTAGGGAATACAAAAAGTAAGGGGTAATAGGGAAGAGGGGGAAAGGGTTAGGGGGATGGGAGAACACAGAGTATACCATCATCCCATCATCCAATCAATTCATATTACAATAACAAATCAACTTTTTACTTTTTCACAGTTTGATTGCCCTCCTCCTTTCATCTTATCATTTAATTTTAGTTTAATTCTATGTTACTCCAACACTGTCTGGTAACTGCAGCCATTTATACAATACATCCCATTGTTCAGTTTCCTTTTGAATTGAACAGTCTTTCAGCCCACCTGACAGAATATCCATTTTTGTCACTTCCCATATTTTCACAATAAGATTCTCTTGTTTCATTATCTCTGCTTTCTTGAAATTTTTAACATAATGCTTTTTAATTTTGGAAGCGGCATAGGTCACTGGATAACTCTCTATCCCATCTATGTTACCTGGTGTCTTAGCTTCATTACCTCTCCAAGTCTACAATATTTATTGTTTATTAAATACAGTACACGTCTACGGAACTCCCAAGACAAATTATTGAGCCTGCTGTCGTATCTGCCATGTCTGTCAGAGGAGTTATCCAGTGGGGACAAACCTGACACTGCAGAACACAGCAGGGAAGAACTGTGGACGAGAAAGGCATATGGGGCAAAGGAGGGAAGGAAATGGGATCCCCATTGGAGCATAAGTGAAGAAAGCTGAAGGCAGGCAACTGAAGCCGCATGGCAAAGTGTTGTTCAAAGAGGCTCCTCAGAAGAAGGGAATCTCCTTGGGAGGAGGTTTTTTTCCCACTTCCAGAGAGACCCAAGGAACAAACCCTGCAATTAAATTTCTCCCCTTGTTGCCCAAACATCTGCAAATGAGTACCAGTTGTGCTCCAGCAGCCCACCTATAAAAAGCCCTCAGTTAGGAGTGCAAACTACCGGAGACATGTCTACTAATTCCTTACTTTCTTCCTGCATGTTGGGGCCCATGCATCAACTGTCTCAACTGTGTCTGACTCCTTTAGATCCTCTTTGCAGATTCTGGTAGATAGTGGCCTGCCTGGCTTTGACCTTTGGATTGACACTAAACTACGGCTTTATATTTCCCTGCCCTGGCTGGCTGTTTTGGTATGCTCTTCAGTACCTTCTCTCTTTCCCTGGCTTTTCCCTGGTTTATGGCTTCTCCAGTTGGGAGCTGCACTTGCCTTGTCCAGTACAGAACAGGACGCTTGCAGGTTTGTTATAACTATAACTGAGATTATATTGCAAAATGCTTTGAATATTCAAAAAGCTCTTGGTAAAAACTGCTAAAAAGACAAAAAAAACCCAACACCCTAGAATCTGGTACACATGATTATGCCCTTATCACAGATGAGATAACACATTCCCATGCACTGGGGAAAAAGCAATGCTCAGGACACAGTATCCACAGTAAATCTGAGCTTTGTCATGGCTGAATGACATCCTGCATAGAACAACTATGCACTCAAGAATCCTCTGTGGCATTACATGGCATGGAGAGATATACTTTGTATTCAAAATTTAGTGTTTTTTTTAAGGAAGCAAGCAAACTTGTATACACCTTAAAAATGCTCCCTGAACTGTTCTCTCATTGCAACTGCTTATTTTGCTATAAAGCTGAGTCACATTTGCTTTGGGTAGAGTGGGGTTCTGGTTTCTTCCTGTCCCACATTTAACTTTTTACGTTCCCCTTTCATTTATGCTTTGTTTGAGAATTCCACCATTTCTGTGCATACTTTCCCACAAAACAAGTGCATTGTTGCAAGCAATATTATGTCTACATAATTTCCACAAAGAAATAAAGTTTTTACACAAGAAACAGCTGTTAATAACTCCTTTTGGCTCAAAATAAAGGCAGGAGATTATGGACTAGGGGATCTTTGCATAATTCATTCTGGGCACAGAAATCTGATTTCCATTTTAGTCCCAACTAGAACAAATCCAGTGAAATTAGTGGAACTAAAATTAGTGTTGACTAACAAGTTTCCTTCATGGTGATGTGTCTGTTCAAGTCACAACTAAAATAGCCTCACATTTATATTCTCTATAAAAGCAAACAGAGGCTGGCAACTATTCTGGATCATACCATCATATGCATAGAGGGAGTTTAAAAGGAATAGAAATCAGAACAGTGCAATGGGGAGAAATGTGTACAAAAATGTATTAATAGGTAATAGAACAGCAACTGCATGAGCCACACTTACATAACATCTCCAGCATAGTGTTTAATCCGAAAGTCTCTGTCAAATTCCAGGTTTTTATCTGTGGCACAAAGCTGAAAAACAAATGGTTAGGAGGTCACCTTTAAAATGTACTTGTTGAAAAATACAATTCTACACTCCAAAGCTGCTATTTAGTTACAGACATAGGAGGAATCTTTTAACTGTTGCCACATCTACAGGTTTAGCTACATAATGCCTTTTTCCGGATGCTATTGTTACATAAGGCACTTATTTATAGACAAGCAATCTACAAGGCAATAAAGCTTTTTCTTCTTCTATACTGTTCTTCATATTTACAGAAGCAAAATACTTTAGGGATCAGCTGCCATCTGTTCTTTATTTCTCTGCAAAATGCCTCCATCAAATACACAGGAATCCTGAAGGGCACCACCAACTGAACAGATTGATACGAAGTTTATAGCATGGCTGTTTTCATAGGAAATAACAACCCAATAAAGCTAAGTATGAACAGAACACTGCAGGCTTCTTAAGGATTAGCATTATCAAATAGCTCAGCTCAGGAAGAAATGGGTTTACAGATCACAGTTCCATTTCTTTGATCATAAAGCACAAAATCATGTAAATAAACATGCCTTCAGGAACATAAAACATTCTTGTCCATACCTCAAGCCAAACAAAGTTAAGGACCTGCAATAATCACATACAAACCAATTACAGAATTTATTTATTTTTACTAAAATTCCCAGAATCCTCCAGCCACACACCATTCTGAAGGGTTCTGAAGATTCTGAAACTTGCAGTTTTAAAAAGTAACTTTCCCATTTCTGATCCCCAGGCCAATTTCCCAAACCTGCTAGGAGAGCCTTTTTAATATGATCTGTGGAAAAGCAAACCTGGGATCAAATTAGATGGGGTTCTCCGCAGATACTAGGAATCTGGGGGAAAAGACTCATGTGGGAAGAAAATGACAAAGCTGAGTTACTGAAATCCAAGTATCCAGTACATTGCCATCCTTTGTCCATTACTTTTCCTATAAGAAAATAACTATTCTGACTAGGAGAATGACAGAATCATGAGGACTGAGGTTCTCTCTGTTTTTGCCCTTCTAGGTTGTTTTAAGATAGTCATTTATTTGTTCCAGTTTCTAGCCCAGCAAAGAATGTGATAGGCCTGTAGATCCATGAACCAACCTTCTTCTAAAACTATAGTCTTTATGACCTTGGAACATGATGGGTAGTTGCTCTGGGATCTACCCAAACTATCCGTCTAGTATATGCTATAGAAATGATACAGCTGAAGAATGAAGTACACCCACAGCCATGTAACTGAGTCACTAGCAAAGAGATACAAAGTGGCATGTGAGAACAAATTCAAATAGACTAAGGTGCTGAATCCTTCCTCTGATTGCCACTCTTCTCTTTCAAATGGCCTTCTAGTTTTTTCTCTCCAGGCCAGTTTCCCAGAAACGACCCTGCCTGAGAATGAAAATGAAAAATTGCCCAAGAAAAGAGCCTCAGAGGAAAATGGTGACAGGAAGTTTAGTTTTACTATACTGTAGCTTGCTGGTTTTTTACTTAAAAATTATTTCCATATAGAAAATATCACCTGTACCATAAGATGCAGCATGGCTACAGTGTTCATGATCAGTTGCTAGACTGGTAGCTCTGTGAACTGACATGTACTTATGCCTCACTTCTCACATTACAGCAAACTCAATTCCTCATGTGAAAATGCCCAGAGAAAGGAAAAAAAGGAGTGAAGCATCATTGTTACAACCTAGACTGGAAAGAGGCAGGGGGAGCAGGACAGAACTCGGTAATTCAAGCCACAAAAGCGGATTATACACTGCACACACAATGAGACAGTAGGATCTCCTATTAGGCAACACATACGAAGCCTCCAATTTAATTCAGTTTTCTTACTTTATGCAGAGTAAAAACACATTTTCCTCTGCTGCATAAATTTTATTATACAAAAAAGCAAGCAGACAGCAGTACATTGGATATGCAGTTTGAAAGTAGGACAGGAGTATGTAGGGCACAGCAGCCCCTCAGAGCTTATCAGCCCCAATGCAGAACCCAATATGCTTCACAAGGAAGCAATGAAGCATTAACTGTGAAGCTCGGCAATCACTATTCCTGTAACGTATCAGCACATGGTTCTTGATGCTCTTCAGCAACACTCATCTCAACATCTCCAGTTTCCCTGTTGCTTTTAGCAAAGCATCAGAGTACCTGGGAGATGCAACATCAGTTTGGATTTGCTTTCAGAGATACGATTAATAAGCCTAAGGATACAGATACCTGACTTTGCCCCACTAATTTATACTGAAATACTGGTATGGCAACAGGAGTGTCAGGAAATGTGCCTTTAGAAATACAAGAGTTGTGTTCACAATTTGAAGGATGTGGGATAAAACACTATGTGGAACACATTAACCTCTGAGGACAAACGCTTTCCTATAAACATAAAAATAAGACACAGACTCAAATATCTATCCATCAGCAAGGCTGCAATAAGGACAGAACACCCGCCTTATTTCCAAAGAAAAGGAACTGAATAAATAATCCTCTGGGATTTTAGAAAGCAGTATTATTTGGGGTAGGCTCCTTAGAAGATGCTCTTAACAATTTATTGAGCAACATCTTGAGAGCTCTGACACTTGTCGGGTATGGCATGGCCTGCGACAAATCACAGGGCAGAGTAACAAAAACAGTCTGTTTAGCAGTGGTGATTTTTTGGCTGAGCAGTTAAATCAATTTTTCAGCCGTTTTGAGGTGGAAACAGGAACAACCATTATTCCAGCACCAGCTATCTATAGTACATCACAAGAATATACCATCGACAGACAACCACTACTACTGCAGATTTCAGATGTGAGACGTGCTTTCCAAAATATTAATGTTTGAAAGGCAGCTGGACCAGAAGGAATCATGGGACGAGTTGTTAGGGGATGTGCTGCAGAATCAGCTAGAGTTTTTACAGATATTTTCAGTCTATCCTTGTTGCACTGTTCTGTCCCCACTTGCCTGAAGACATCTATTATAGTGCCAGTCCCCAAGCAGTCAGCTGTGGCATCTCTCAATGATTATAGACCAGTAGCTTTAACATCAGTTATTATGAAATGTTTCGAGAGATTGGTGCTGGATTACATTAAGGCTAGTCTTCCACCTTCTTTGGACTCATGGCAATTCGCATACAGGAGAAATAGATCTACTGATGATGCTATGTCCATTGTTCTCCATACTGTATTGAGTCACTTAGAACAACAGGGAACTTATGTAAGGCTGTTGTTTGTGGATTATAGCTCTGCTTTTAATACTATTCTACCCAATTGGTTGTTTTTTAAAACGATCAACCTGGGATTACCTCAGAAGATTTGTGTGTGGGTAAAGAACTTTCTAACAGATAGGCCACAGTCAGTAAGGATGAGTCTCACCTTTCTTCTACCTTGGTACTAAGTACAGGAGCTCCCCAGGGCCGTGTGCTAAGTCCCTTCCTCTCTTCCCTCGTACACACATGATTGCACCCCACTGTATAACACCAACACAATTATTAAATTTGCAGATGATACAACAGTGGTGGGGGCTCATAAATAAGAACAATGAGTCTGCTTACAGAAAGGAAGTACAAGGGTCGATACTGTGGTGTAAAGAAAATAATCTTACACTTAACATAAAAAAAAAAACTAAAGAACTCATAATTGATTTTAGGAGTAAGAGAAATATGCGTTTACCACTGTACATAAATGGCGAGGAAGTGGAGAGGGTTGGTAGGTTTAAATTTCTGTACTGAGTTGGGGAGCAAGAGAGGAAGGAGAAACCTCTAAGACCTATGGCAGAGAAAATTAACTTTTGGCATAAAAGATGGGTTTGATAAAAAAAAAATATTTTCATGGCAAAATCCACAACTCAATTTTTTTTAAAAAAGCAAAGTGTGTTGTTTATATACTGACCTATAGTGGCACTCTTTAGGCAGTATACAATTTAATTACACAGGCTACACATTGCCCCCCACAAGCAAGTTGGATACTCGATTTACCAACTGCAGAAAGATGGAAGGCTCAGTGAACCTCAAGCCGGCTACGTGGGATTGAACCCAGGTCGTGAGCAGAGTTTTGGCTGCTGCACTGCAGTCTAACCACTGGCTTTCTTCAACTGTGCAGTCAACCAACAGCAGTTTAGGAATGGAAATCTACAGAAAACCTGCACACATTGATCAATACCAGAGGTTTGACTCTCATAATCCATTGCAACACAAACTAGAGGTCATCGGGATGCTAAACCACAGAGCAAGAAACATCCCCAACTCAACAGAAGCCAAGAAGAAGGAAGACAAGCATCTGAAGATAGTCCTTAAGGCAGACCTGGGCAAAGTGCAGCCCGCAGTCCACATACAGCCCGTGAGCCGCTCCAGTCCGGACCGCCGGTCGCCACTGAGTGAGCTGGAGCTCCGGCTTCAGTCACCCAACACAGCAGTAAGCAAAACTCATGAGACCGACGCTGGGATCTCGTGAGTTTTGACTGTTACTCTTGAGCCACAGGCTGCGGAGCCTGCAGCTCAAGAGGCCAGAAACGATCCTTGCGCAGGCGACGTGACTATGCATCACATCACCTGTGCGGGATAGAAGACAGTTGGAGAGGAAGGCAGTGGGGGAATGGAGGACAGGTGAGTTAGCTCAGTGAGGTTTTTTTTTCCTTTTCCCCCCCCCCCCCCGCGGTGAAAGAATTACAAACACTCACATAGTTAACTTCCTAACACAGTTCAGATTTTTCATGTGGCCCCCTTTAGAAATTAATTGCCCACCCCGCCTTAAGGCCTGTGGATATCCAAAATGGGCCTTTAACAAGGCAATGTCTCAACCCAGTAGGAAAATGGAACAATCTGAGGAGTGTTCAGAGCTCTACAATGGAGAAACCAAACAGCCACTAAACAGGAGAATGGCCCAGCACAGGGGGGAGAATGGCTCAGGACCACAATCAGCAGTGTTCCTCCATTTGAAGGACAAAGGACATTCATATGATGACCAAGATGTAGAGTATAGATGGTTTGAGAAAGAGGTCAGGGAGGCCATACATATGCATATAGAAAA